AAAAAAAATTGATATTTATTCAGTGTCTTTCTCAAAGATAAATTTAACAACACTAGAGGTCAAAATAGACCATGGATCATTAGTTTCAATAACCTTAGCTTTCACAACATTTTAATTTTTTGTTATCTCTCTTTTATATGAAAAAGGTTTTAGTGACTGTCATATTTTATCTTATTTTAGTATTAGGAGAGTAGGAGGATTACAGGAGCTCAACTTTCCAACCCATCATATGGCGATCATTTTACAAATTATACAGCTGTTCATTTAATTACATATGTGTTTAGCTCCTATAACCTCCTATTCTCCTAATACAAAATAAATATTCAAGACTAAAAATTTGAACGGAAAATGATATTCATCTGTAAGAGGTAGTTTGATGTTACCTACGGGATAGCAGTCATTTTTCGATCTCGACATTTCCCCCTGAATACAATATTTTAATTATTATATTATTTATAACATTATTTATATTATATTCTGATATAATTATAATTATTATGAAATAGAAAAAGAAGCACAGTATAACGGACAATGAAAATATTAGAAATAAAAGGCTACAAATATTATTGTGCTTGCAAGAAGTTTATAAGTTCAATATATATAAATTACGCTTACAAGTTGGCAATAACAATAATTACAAATATATAATGATATAAATTAGCAGCAAGGCACGATGTATAATATAGATTTTTAAGAAATCCGAACTGTTGTTTCGTTCAGTTTATTTTATCTTGATAAAAAATAATACAGTATGAACTACAGAATATATGTAAATTACAATTATACAATTTGAGCAACGAGTGGTACAATTAAATGGACAGTTGTATAATTTGTAAAATGGGGATGGTCCGCCGTTAAGAGGATAGGTGGTACTCCTCTAATTAGTAATAATATTAATTATTAATTTAATTTTTAATTTTTTGTACATTGATTTTACAAACCTATTTTTATAATAGTGTAAGCTCAAGACATCTTTTTAACAATTTTATTTTAAAAAATTAAAACTATAAATTTTGAAAAATTATCAAAGCCGATTTGAGAATAACTAAGTTTTTCTTTTCTAAACTTTCTCACTTTTTAGCACCAACCTTCGACTTCATTTTATATTTGTTTATACAAGAAGTTATAAATTGAGAAAACCTGTTTTAAAAAAGATATATGAAGAAAGTAATTAATAACGGAGGTAATTTTTAGCTTTCTTAAAAAATATTAATGAAGATCAAAATACATTAAAAAATGTTTTCATTAACCCTCCAAGGCCATACCTGTTCTTTCAAACAAGAATACTCGACAACGCCTGGCTCTTCGATGCAAACAATCAATAGTCTCAATTTCACCTCTTTTTTTTTTTTAACGAATTTCAGTTATCTGAATTAAAAATAACTTTTAATATCAAGATCTCTCATGTTGCCACAAATAAAATCATGATCCAATTTCTCAAAATAGTAAATAACCTTGGGCTATTATTTATGAAATGTTCAATGTCATTCATAAGTCTGGAAGGTGTTTCAAGTTTAAAAAGAAAAAAAAAATTAAATTAACTTTAGTCTGAAATATTTTTTAGCTTAAAACATATAATTTACTTATCGATAATCTAATCTTTCTTAATTATTCCTTTCGCGTTTACACGAAATAACCCGTTTTCCATTTCGTCATATGCCGTTTGAAGTATGCAGTTATATTCAGTATCAGATATATTTGTTTGAAAAAGAAGTCAAGTAAATTTTTTAGTGTTTTTGAATGGATATTTTTTTAGTTCTATTTTATCAGAACTCGACCTTCAAAAATACGTAAATGTACTAACGCAATAAGCTCTACGCTTCTGCATTTCTATTGCCACAGTAATAAAGAAAGTTTATTACGGGACTGAAATAAACAATAGCAATATTGATTTAAACAAAAACAATCTATTTTTATGTTTACGTGCAAAATAATGTTATTTATGAATTGGTTTCTTAAAAATGCTTTAGAATTAATGATTGTTCTAGAATTAATTAAATAAAGCATGTTTACAGATGAAATATATTTTTATTAATAATAATATTGTTATACTTGATTATTATTATATCTAATTATATTTTTAAATATTATACATATAATCATCCTAATAAGGTTGCATAAAAGTTCGATAAAAAAACATATGTTGTAAATTAATCAATAACTGCTCTCCTTCTCAAGTGAGTATCGGAGGATTTTTGTATATATGTATGTATATATATATATATATATATATATATATATATATATATATATATATATATATATATATATATATATATATATATATATTATAATATAATATAATATATACATATTATAATACTTAATATAAACATAATACTTACTCTGGAAGAAAAAGAAAAAACTATAAGAAACCATGTTAAGCCCATAAAAAAATAAAATTAAATATATAAAAATATATAAATGAATTACAGGAACAATAATGCTTTTAGATATAATTTTTAAATATACTTTTTCTTGCTTAAATTTATTTGCTAGATATGCTTTATAATTTAAAAATAATTCACGTTGGGATTTAGTTGTTATTAAGCTTAAAACACTCACAAAAACAAATATGAACCAATGAAAAAAAAAAACGATGTGCCGTGCGCGCATCACACAACTTTCACATGCCTCTCTTCTTAGTTGGAATAAGTATTTTCAGATGAAAGGATGTGAAATTAATTTTTTTTTTTTTTTGTCACTAACCATATTCTTTTATGACTATATATTTTAATGATTTATTTGATTATAATAAGTAATTAACTAACACGAAATATTTTTGGTTCGACAAAAGGACTACTGATAGACAAGGACGTTATATTTATTTATATTTCATTGTAGGCGTTTTTATTTGTTGAAGCATTATTATACATTCAAATTTTAATTTGTATACTGTTGTAATCTAAACAATTAAATATTAAATAATACCAATGCTTGCATTGCGCTTAGCATTAATGAAAACCGCATACGTGTATGTATATAATATTATAGGAACCGGTATCATATTAAGCACGTGTCACGTTTGGAAGCCTCCTCTATCCTTTCGGCTAAGTTCGGGTGATCTTTCGGGTATCTCCGGCTTGTAATGTTCTCTATACTTTGCTTATTCTCCGTTAAGTCCGTTATTTCATTATTAAATTCTTTCATATTTTATATTTAACCGTTTGTTATATCCGATTACAATGCGAAATAGTTAATTATTTCAAATTTAAAAGATTAAGACACTTTAGTGGAAGAAATAAAAAAAAATAGACATTTAAGCCCTGTTAGAGAATATTAATCAGAATAAAACCTACACAATATTAAAAAATTCTTAATTTTACATTGATAAAATGAATCTAATCAAAATCGTTAGAGCCATTTTCAAATAAATTGTAAAAATTTGTTAAATCAACGATATAAAGGGGCGCTTCCGATAAGCAGATTTCCAGGAAAAATTTGCTATAACATCTCAGCCATATAAATACCTTAAATACGTAATATCAGTTTCGAACAACTTTTCTCTTTCTAGATTAGACTGTTCACACACACACACACACACCAAAAAAAAAATGGGAATTGGTTATTTGAGGTCCTCAAAACCTGTATTTTCGTTGAAAATTCGGATTCAAAAATTTTCACGATCGCAATACTTTTCCTTACTATGTATGAAATATATACAATGAAAGTAAAAAATTATTTTTATATTTTGGGGACTTCAGCCCGAAAGCACCCTCCCCCCCCCCATTAGATTCAACAGTGCTGCAATTGTATAAAAACAATCAATGACTCATCGAATCAATCCATTAGTTAAATAAATTAAAAAATTAAAAAAACTTGCTAGAATTTTGCAAGCAGAATAAACATCCGAAGAGACTCCGATCACACTCGAATTTAAGACATTTGTGTTTAAATTACCATAAGCCAGTGGAAAAGTATTCAAAATAAAAATTTACCATTTGTCTTTTTATAGAATGAATATAATTCAAAGCATAATTGCCACTTTGGAATATCAAACGATCAACGGAATATCAAATGAAGTATCAAACGATTTATCTGCAATTATCTTGCAACGTTAGCAAGGAATATGATTAATCAGGTCTGCTTTTGCTGACGCTTGGATTAAAACAAATGATTCTATAATTAATTTCTTAATTTTCGGAGAAACGTACTTAAAAATTTTATTACAATATAAATAAGTTTCAAACTTAATTGCGTAATTAAATTGTTTATATATTAATATAAAATCAAGCTTATATTGGAATTGAGCAACAACAAAAAATTGCCAACTAAACATACCTGGGGCCACGTCATATAAATCCAGATTGTATCGACAGATGCTTGTATTTAATATTATTTAGCTATCAATAATTATATATATGAGTATAATTGGAATAAACACCGTCAGCTATTTTTTTAATACTATTATAAATTAATATGGTCTCTAGATAGTTATATAAAAAAGGACGCGGATCCGTTCTCGCATTTGGTATTGTAATTCTATTGGCTAACTGCCGGCACTCTTAAGAGAAGTCCAGTGGATATTTTAATGTTTATTTATATGGTATATATGCTAGTGTAAGTATTTTTACGTGTGCTGATATATTATATTTATATATAAATACATTTATTTTGATGTTTATGTTTATATAATATGACTTAAGATATGGTAAGAGAAGAAAAAAACCGTGTGATATTGTGAAGGTTATCTATCTATTGTTTTTATCTTTTAAAGCGATAGGGCCTTATTCCTAGATCGTGACAAAGAAAGATATTTATCCAAAATAATAACAAAATTCATAGTAAAATACATTTAAAAAAAAAAATTGCCAATATCACATTTCTGAAAATAAGGTCATAATAATATGATTTTCTAAATATTTTACTACTCCATTTGCAGCTTATTTTCACTGATATAATGATAAATATAATTACAGGTTATTATGGCCATTATATTTTCATGGATGTTTGGCATTTTTTTTTTTTTCTGAAGGTATGTAATGACTAGGGTTACTCACCTGGTAGTCCATGACGGGACTGTGTCTGGCAGCGGACTGAGCACAGTTCTGCCGCTAGGTTTTTATTTTCGAACGCCTGCCATTACGTAAGGGGCGAACATTATATAACGCTTTTGAGATGTTCGAAACCAGGGGGATGCACCCCCTAACGTCTAAACATATCAGCAAGGACTTCAAATTCAATTATTTAAAAACTTAAATATGTTTTATCGACATACCTTTTCGGTGAGGTGATATAACATTTATTCGTTTTGCTACCCCTAGAGTATTCATATATATATATATATTCATATAAATTATGAAGTAATTTAAATTATTATTTCAATTCAACAGCCATTGCATGTTTTTACCTCTTTAAAAAATAAAATATATATATTCAAATATTAGGGTGATTTTGAAGAAAAAAAAAAAAAAAAAAAAAAAAAAAAAAAAAAAAAAAAACATGAATAGCTGAATCTTCTATTTTTTTTCAAAGATTTAAACACACATTAACAAAAAAAAAATCTTACCACTAAAACCCATAAAGAGTCTTGTGTTCAGTAATATTTAGTGAAAGCACTGTTTCTTGGTCTACGGTTGTACAAGGAGGTGATTTGACCGAGATCACGCTCAACAGCCAAGTTTTTTCCCTTAATTAATGGCACCCACTTTATAGAGGCTGGATGTGCCCCAGGAGGGTCTACCTATCCTGGATGGCCTCACGGTTGGCAGTGAATTTAACGAAAAATAACTTCCAAACATAAACAATTCGAACTGATTTTTTTTTTGTGAACTGAATCTAAATTACTGAGGTTAAAACATTATTAACTAAATTAAAAATCTAAACATTTTAAAATTTTCTATGACCAAAAAGCATTTTATATTTTTACTTTAATATCATATGTTTATTGTAAAAAGCCTTTATCTTTATATTTGAATGAGCTAAATTTTTAAGTACCTTTTTTTGGAAAACTTGAACTCGTATATATCAAAAAAAGAGGAATCGTACAGTGTTTTGATTTTACAGTGGAAAAATAAATCAAATTACTCAGTGATTTAATCTGACAATCAAACCTTTTATAAATTAACTATGTTGGTATTATTTTAAGAACACGAGATATATAATCGAGCAGTTTCAACGTTGCTTTTTTTTCTTTCCTTTTTTTTTTACATTCCTTCTCTGCTGTAGTAAGTAATATTACGTAAATGTCCCATGCTCTAACAAGGTATAAATAAATAAAAAAATATGTAAATGTAAATACGCGAGCATAACGTACACGGTCGGTTTATTGCAGAACGTGATGTATTTAGTAATTCGATTTCTTGAACTGTTAATGATTTTTCGTAGTAAACCGATGATATAGAGCATGAATCTCAATAAATAAAAAATAATAAAAAAACGAACACTTTAATCCATTTCATTGTAGTTCTTCTTATATATGTTAGTTCTATCTGTCTGTCCCGGGTAATGTATGTATTTATATGTATTTATATATATATATATATATAAGTTCATATATTACTTCACAACAGAAGGAGCAATGCAGATATGTAGTGAGAGAAGTGCTATAATAAAACAGATTAAAGTGTTATTTTTTTTATAAATTATAGTGTACCATTTATTGCAAAAAATCATTAACATCTCATAAAATTGAAATACTAAATACTTTTATGACTTCTCCCTATCTGAAATCAGAACACTGTGTATCTACGATTGTTTCTGTAAATATATTCGGTATATAAAAAAAAGATTTTTGTTTTATACATTTATTGTATTGTTTAGTAAGATCAAAATCCATTTAAGTGTTGAAAAGACTTGTTGCATAATAAAAATTATGGTTAGACCCTTCTTGCAATAATACGTATAATACATATTACTATTAATGGAATTAAAAAATTGGACTTTATTTTTTTCGAAAACGATTGTGCTTAATCACGAAAGAATACCCCGGTTAAAGCGGACGATATAGTCAATGAATCGTCACCAGTACTCTAAATTTATTTAAATAAGTAAAAGTATGTTTTAGTATAAAAATAAAAATAAATTCCACTTGATCATTTTGTAAAAATTTTAAAGTGCTAAAACAATTTAGTTAACAAATCAATTAATTGGATTATAGTCTGTATGAAGACTATAATCCAATTAAAGACAGAACATATAAAATGTTGGACTGACATAATTATGATCAAAATGACGCTAATGATAAGTAATTAGTGTTAATTTGATCAATTAACACTCATTAATCAGTCTTGCAGTTGGCTTGAAAATGGCGACATAGTTTCGGCTATTGCCAGTGCAATATGAGAAGAAAAATAAATTTGGTGGAATAAATACTGCCGAAACCGTTATTATGAATCCAATTTCAATTTAAAATAAAAATATTATATATCCTTTTAAACAATGCATTTTAGAGCGTCGTAAGGATGTTTTCTCTTCTACTTATGTAGCTTACGTCAGAATCGGTAAAGTACCGGTGTGTCGATGAGAATTGAGTAAATTTGTATTCTCAAATGGTATATGGTTATTGTTCCACTTTACATTTAATATATATATTCATTTTCCATTCATGTTGTGTATTTATTATGTATTTTATTTTAATTGATTTAGATTATTATGATCGAAATGTTTAAAAAATGATAGATTAATAACTTTATTTAACAACTTAAAAAAATAGTCTGAATAATATAATATACAAATATATCTATTACAATGATAAATATCAAACAATATGGAGGATATTTTGGTATCAGATTAATTATTAGAATGAGTACTTTATTTTTCAAGACAGGATTTGACAAAAAAATTAGCCAGGACTTTTCTCAACCGGAAGCATTCGTGTGTGTGTAACTATAATTTGTTAATTAATTAGTTTGATCAACAGACACTTACTGTTAATAACTCAAAAAACGATAATCGTCCTATTGCTGTACTGCTTAATTACATATTCTCAGATATACGCTTAACTATTAACATGTGTGTATTACGTTCCTTATTTTCCCGCAAATATGGTGTTAAGTGGTCCAATTATGTTTAAATGTATGGAAATATTTAGGGTTCCGTCTAAACCGTTTTATCTGGGCAGTAGGTAATGATTTTGTTCTTCCTTTTTTTCGAATGCACTGCAGAAAGCTCCTATGACCCTACAAGTCAATGGTTCATGGGCAGCATTTAAATACCAAACCATTCGTAAACGCACATATAATCTCTTTCTACCAGTTATGTAAGAGGGTTAATGATCTTTTGAACGAAGTCTCTTTTTTTTATTTCTGACTTGTTACAACCGATCCTTCTCATGAATGCTTATTTGCTACTGTTGCATTTTAGGTAATACGCACATTTATAATTGTAAGAAGGCATAACGGTCAAATTAAGTCTGCAATCTTCTATGACTGATAGTTACTACTTTCACTTCAATAATATTACTCATTACTCTTGAATGAAAAAAAAAAGTTTGATGCAGGAACTGACCGTTTAGGATCAATTGTTTCAAAGTGTTTGCATATACACACAATATTCATTTAATAAAAAATCAATTAATAAAACGTTCCCAATAAAATTTAATTACTATTCAGATCAATGAAGATGATCAACCTACCTTAAGAATGAATTTCAATGCTGTTTCCACTTTTCTAGAAATCTGCTCCAGAAATCCATAGCATTTTCTCGCCCACGACGTCGACGCCTTTGTCTGTATTTTTGTAATCGCTTCCTAAATGCCGATCTCATCATGCAACTGACTTACCGACCTTTTATATAACAAAATAAAGAGATATATATCTGTCAACAATACTTTGGGAACAAAGGTTCGTCCTGCAGGCTGGAAGCAATATCGTCTTTCGCACGGATGCCTCCGTTGGGAACTGCTTGAGGCTAAATCCTTTTAGATCTGACTGTTCTTACATTTCTAGTGATCCCCCACTTTTTCAGTTGCTGGAGGTGGGGTATTTGATTCCAAAGAATTCAGTATAGGTTGCGCTTCCTACGATAAGTTCCTACCCTTGTTACACAAGTTTTCTTTCCAACACTTATTTGTTCCACATATTTCACTTATATTTTATGTAACTATCGTTGAGCATAAAACAACTCCAACAAACAATGTCCGCCCTTATTTTTTTATGACAGCAATATATTTCATTATGGAGATTGTTTATCAGCTTAGAGCAGTGGTCTCCAAAATACGGCCCGCGAGCCGCATCCCCATCCGCAAGCACTTCCAATCCGGCCATCGAATGTTTCTTTGACTACATAGTGAAGTTTTAAAAACTATTTCAAAAATTTTGAATTTAGTAAAGTACTCATACAAGAGGTTACTACAGCTTTTAGAAAATTCATTTCAGAACTGAACTGTCATTTATAAATCAGATATTTTTTTCATCAGAAGACGTGGGCAGCTGAACTTTGTGTTAGGAAGATCTCAATGCGGCCAGCGGGACTTAGTGAAGGTCTCAATGTGGCCCGAGGGCCAAAACGTTCGGAGACCCCTGGATTAGAGAGTACAGTTTGAACAAGACATATTCCTATTATTTAGATGTTCAAACAATCTTTAGGTTATTAGGTTATCAGTATTGCTTATTTAGAATGCATTATTGGCTTATCACTCGCTAAATTGCATTTCCAGGTATGACACATTATGGAGATGATCCGGTCTTCATAAAACATGTATCGCCTGAAAATAATGCCTAATTCAGTCTCCTTAATACTATGAATTACAGTTTCCTTTTTATTTCGTTATTAAGAAAAAATCAGAGATCATTTCTAAAATTTCATTGATGGAGAATATTTATGAAATATTTATATGGGAATATGCCACTTTAGGAATAAAAAGGTTGGACTCATGCGTGTATTCTTTCATTTGACAAACATAAGTACCTTTGTTTTGATGATTATTTAATTCCATGCTTGATCATATTTAAAGTTGTAGCGAATTTCTTCGTGATGAATGTCCTAGCAAACCACTACGACTTTAGAGGTTGTCAGGAGTAAAACGAGAGAGCAAGGAAAATATTGAAAAAAAAAATACACCAGCAAACCAAGAAAATGAAAAGGAACCTAATCAATAAAGACAGGAGAAATCAAGAGGGAGGGAGGGTAAGCGAACGGACTAACGCATGTGCACAGCACCGCCGTTGCTCGG